TCCAATTCATTGGAGCATTGGGGCCTGGGCTATGAGGACTGGAGTAATCATAGGTCATAAGCGAGAAACCATCCACAGCACCACTCAAGCTCTGCATATCTTCTGGCCCAAAATCCTGGTTTTCCAGTTTCTCGGAATGAGGTGGACCAATGACATACACCAGTTGTAACGGTTGCTTAGATCTCCAGCTATCACGCTCTGAGTGCAGGGCATTTCCAAGTTGCTTGATAAATTGCAGTGCCTGTAATAGGGAGTTAAACAGGTCCCTCAGTTATCCAATATCTGAAAGATGCATACACACATGCACTTTGACAGCCTCATCTCCAGGTAGACATCATTGAAAATATAAAGAAAAGGTTAGAAGACCAATGGTGGCCATCATAGCCACCTATGTAATTAGAAAGCTCTCGTGATTTGCAACAAGAAAGCCTAAGCGATCATGCGAACTAGCTCCAAACTTCTTTTGTTTTTATCTTTCTCAACTCCTCCAATTTTGGCCAATGGTGCCCATCATAACCACCTATGTAATTAAAAAGCTCCCATGATATGCAACAAGAAAGCCTAGGTAATCTGATTATGCTAACAAAATAGTTCCAATCTTCTTTTGCTTTTTTCTGTCTCTCTCTCTCTCGACTCGTCCAATTTTGGCATGCATAAAAAGAAGGGAAAAAGAAAAGGCAAAATGTTAGGAATCATGACTCTCCACAATGGTATGATATTGTCCACTTTGAGCATAAGCTCTCATGGCTTTGCTTTGGGCTTCCCCAAAAGGCCTCATACCAATGAAGATAGTATTCCTCACTTATAAACCCATGATCTTCCACTAACTTAACCAATGTGGGTCTCACTCCCAATAATCCTCAACACAAAACCCCTCATACTCCTCGTCAAAAAAATCCAAAATAGCAAAGAATAAGAAACTCATTTTGGGCTTGGAAAATCTCAGCAACTTAATCACAAGAAAACCATATTACAAGGTGCATTTAAGGAAACAGATGAAGGACAAAATCTCAAGCCCCATGTCCCTAAACTAAACTAATTTCTTGTTGAAAGAAGGACAAGCAATAAAACCAGAAGATAAAATGACACAGGTAAGCATAAAAGAAATAAGCATTTAATTAACCAAACAGATCCAAGAATAACATCTTGACAGATGTGACACGATGTAGGCCATTTATAAATAAATACATGTTTCGTATCTTATCCGGCAAGTGGTATGTCTTCAAAATAGGGAAGGAAACTGGTTACCGAATTCCTCAGGTCTGGGTCATTCAATATCCCATAAGCAGCCCACCTCGACCAGGATTCTAGCACAATACCATCATAGCCCATTTCCCTGGATAAAAGGGAAGAAAGATTGTGAGAGTTCTGCAATTGCAACATGTAAGCTAAACAAAATAGACTTTGGTTATGAAAGATACACACTTTTAAACCAAAATGATCTGACACATGAAATTGGGTTGTATCATAAATTTGTGAAAACAACCTTGACTCTGAAATTTATAAGCGCATCTAAGAGTCTGACTCTAAACATGGATTTGCATCTTTATGATATAAAAAAATCCAAAATCACATACAAAAGTCACGCAGACCATCTAGTGTATTCTTACTTGCATTCTGTAACAATTAGATCAATAGCTGTGTCCTGTAGCTTCTTCTTTCTAAGCAGATCTGTAGGAAGTGCTTCAACAACCACTCTAGGCAATACCTACTTCAGAATTACTGAAAGAATTAAATGACCCATCATCCGTCCAAGCTCAAATAAAATGATTTTAAGATTACTAGTCATGCATAAGAGGTACATTCAAAGGTGAGTCTTTAATCAAAGTTCCTTGAACAACCTGACATTTGTCAGAATTTCACAATCTGCCAAAGGCATTTCTCCTATGTGTTCTTTGATCCTACAGAATTCCAACAACCCTTCACAAAATATAGCATAAATCCAGGATTGATTAAATATAACATCCCATCCAAACCCACTGCTAACATATATTGTCCTCTTTGGACTTTCCCTCAAGGTGTTAAAACGCGTCTGCTAGGGAGAGGTTTTCACACCCTTGTAAGGAATGCTTCGTTCCCCTCTCCAACCAATCTGAGATCTCACAATCCGCCCCCAAGGTGTTAAAACGCGTCTGCTAGGGAGAGGTTTTCACACCCTTGTAAGGAATGCTTCGTTCCCCTCTCCAACCAATGTGGAATCTCACGTTAAAGCTTCTTCTAATGAATTTGTTTATGTTATATTGTGAGAACTCATATATTGCTTCGAGCGCTACTTGGACAATAAAATTATGCATCCTTCATCGTACCAGAGCATCTCCAGCCAGTCTTAGCTCTGAGATCCATCCTTGATCAGCATTGTGTCTTCCCTCCAACACTAAGCGGGAACCATGACTGTATCAGAACAAATGTAGAAGTATAACACAACTATTAGCAAAATGTAGAGGGAAGATGAACACAAGTACAAGAAAGTAGAAACAAAACAAAACTATAAGAACTAGCAAAGAATGTTGCTAATCGCTTTCATGTGTTTCTGTGTATAAGTACACAGCCAAAAAACGAGTAAAAAAAAATCATCATCATTTGTGTACCTCTTCAAATCATACCACACCGGTGATAAATGTGTAAATTTGGAGTTGAACTTTTTTGCTATATCATAGCCCTTGGAGTTCCTGCACAATTTAACATATGAACCTCGTCAAAATTTAAAGCTGATAGATTAAGAGTTTTTAAGATAGGAAAAAGAAAAGAAAAGGAAGGACTTTCCAGGCAGATACCACGGCGTAATATAAGCAAGCACAGGATAATCATAATGGCGAGAAGTATTTTCAGCGACGTTTGAGTGCTCCTGCACAAAATAGAAGCCCTTGACCACTGAATAACCTACTCGCAGAAACAAATTAAACGAACAACGCTATCCTCTGTCGGATAACTAGGCATATCAAAGAGAAAGTGAGGACTGCGCCGATCTCAGAAAGTAATAAATTAGTAAAACCTAGTGACTAAAGCATTTTACAGTATTTTCAAAGTAGCTGAAAATTCAAAGAGACAGAGAGGCATTTAGCAACTCCAATAATACATACAGCTAGAATTTCTTGATGGTGGATATCAGCCTTTACGAGGCCCCGTTCATATACAGATGCGCCAGAAAATCCCCCACTATTAGTGTATCTGTAATACAAGAGAGCGGAAATGGCGGGAGATATGACAAAGAAGACGACGAAGATGACGATAAGCCTCCGGTCAGAGGAGGAATCTCCGACGATTTCGTGCTTGTCGGAAGAGACATTTTGGGTTTTCCGGCGAATCGAGACAGCTTGGCGATCCCGCTTCTTGGCCATCGGGGACGACGAGCTACAGTTCTGTTGACCGAGTGAACCAGATCAGACCAAAACGGCTAAATTTATTTGGAATAAATCTTAAAATTGGTTTTTAATGCGTAATTTCCTTTTACTATATAAATTTTATTGAAAAAATGTAAATAAATATTAAAAACAAATATATATAATATAATATTCTACCTAACCTAATTTCTAAAAACATTTAAAAAAATTTATAATTTAAAAATCCTATTAAATATAAAATAATGGTTCATTGGCAAATGTAATTGTAAATAAAAAAAATATAAAAAAAAAACTAATTCATCGTAGAAAAATATATATATTTATTTTTATAGGTAAAAAAAGCAAATCGAGACAAAGACAGGACAAAGAATGCAATCTTCACGTATATCTCCTCATTTCATTTAATCCAACATTTCGAACTCCAATAATAAATGAACATTTTTATAAACTAATAATGGAAATTATTTTTAAGATTTATAAAAGATATAATAAGTTGATGCGACTTTAAAATTTTAATTATATCTAATTAAGATTTAAAATTTGGTAAATTATGAAATTACTGATTGTGCAAATTAGATTAGTCTTTGAAATGTTATTTTTTGGGTACTAAATTAATTTTAAATAGCTCACGTTCGTTTTTTTATTATTTTTTTCTTAACTACAAGTAAATTCACGGATTACCATGTATATATCATGTACATATGTAAATTAAGATTAATTAAATAAATAAAATTTAAAAAAATAATAAATTAATAGGTCCTAAGTCAGTAATACATAATATATTCAACTATCAATAAAAAAAAGGTAATAGCTTTAAAAGTAAGCCAAAGAATTGAGATTAAGAAATTAAAATTAATTAAACAATTTATATTTTTTAACGAAATAATTAATTTCAATTAATCTTATAGTACATGATAATAATTGATGTTTAGATAAAGACATTAAAAGATTATGATTAATCAAATATAGAAAATTGTGGAGATTTAACGAAATAAAATTTATGGATAAATTGAAAGTAATTATTATTGGTCAATTAACTCTTTTACCTCATAAAAAGATCGTCTGCATCGATTAGACCGCTAAACAACCAATCCGTTTCAATTTTCAATCATTTTCGTATTAGTTTTTTTAATTTCTTAAAAAAAAATATTTGAATTTTTACTAAGTTTGGAAAAAAAAAATTTAATTTTTTATTTTCAAATTTTAACTTGATTTTGATAACAGGCTGAGAAAATAAATAACAAAATTACTTTTTCAAAAAACCAAAAATAAAAAATCAACTAGTTCTTTTATGAGTCGTGGTCATCCTCGTAGAGATTTGAACCTCTAACATTTTGATCGTTTATATGAACTAGTTGAGTTCGAGACTATATATTTGAGTCAAGCCAGCACATAAGGGAATGGTTACTCGGATTTCTTGGTCCCATAAGCTGAACCGCCACCCCATAGAATATTGTCACCAAGGTGCATATACATTATGTACTTTTAAACCATCTTATTTGCTCTCTCATGTTAATACTTCATCCTTTTTTCCTTTCGAGAATCTAAACCGCTTGACTAAAGAAAGCAAATAGTCAAAGAAGTATGCTTAAATCAATCCGTTTTTTCGGGTCCTAACTAAGATAAAGAATTCCCTAAAAAAAACATAACAAGTAAAAATGGAGTCGTAAAGCATTATAGTTCTATCAAATTCTGCAGTCATAACATAACATAACAAAAGGTAGAGAACAAATTCTGAGGTCAAGAGTCAAGAGTCAAAGACTGACATGTGTACCAACCATTCTAAATTAAAGACATATACTTAGCTTACTTATTTCAGGACTAAGTATGTACAAAACATACATAGCAGTACTTGCCTTAAGCTCCAACAAATGCATAGGCCCTAAGTTTCTGCTACCATGCTGCACAAACTGAAGTTAATTAACATAAAATAAGAAAATTCCCAGATTTCATCCATGGATATATATGGGTAGCTAAGCGTCGAAGGAGCAGAGCGGACCAGACTCGTCCTCTTACGAGAAACAAGAAACAAGAAACGAGAAACAAAAAACCAACCAAATGCATCTCCATGTGAGGGGAAAATTAACCACCAGACTTGCACCCAAAACTTCAGAGAATGTGATAGGATAGCTCTGAACAATCTTTACATGGCACAGCACAGCACAGCACATGTGGGAGCTATAATGGCCTCTCTACATCTACCACCATGAAAACTATTCACATCATCAATGTTTAGTTGTTGCTTCATCCATACCCACTACTTCTCGATTGGTTCAGTTTGCCCCTGCACAGCCATCCTCTCCGATACATCCGCCAATGATTTAAGATTGCATCTGATTAATGCCTTAACGAAATAACACGTCTCATCTTTGGTGTTCCCGCTAGGCACATCCACCACAAAAGACTCGACTACAACCGTGCCAGGTCTTCCATCAATGACCTTTGGATGGACAGTCATGATGGAAGAGTAGTTCTGCATAATTTAGCAGGAAATGCTTTGAGTTTTTTACTTAAATGATAAAAATCTCATTAAACAATTGAGTTAGAGAAGAACCCCAATGTTCATACTTTGAGCCTGTGATCTCCACCAACGATTCTGATTCCGAGTATGTGTTCTTCATCGTCGAGAAGCTCCAACCTCTCAGTACTGGTGGTCGCAGGAAGACCAGATTTCACATTCACTTCCCTGACACTTCCAATGCCCAGATCTCCTTTCACTACACAACGACTAACAAAAGGCTTATACTTCTGGGGCTGATCAAATCGCCTCACCAGTGACCAAACCTGATATAATGTAACCAATTGAATCATTACAAAATCAGATAAGAACAATTCAACAAAACCTTCCATAATTCCAACGATTATTAAACAACAAGAAGGATAAAGCTCAAGAACTAAATGAGGCTATTCGCCTAGATTTTTGTCGTTTCACAAGAACAAGCTCAATCTGTTCCGAAAACTTCGAAAGACGTAAACAAAATCTCACTCGCTACTCAATTAGGCAAGAAAATCGCGTACAAAAAGAAAGTAAACGACAAAATTAGATTTATTTGGCACAGCAAAATGTTCCACGAATAACCAGAAGACAAAATCACAAAAAGAGCAAGTAAAATCCATAGCAATTGATAACGAGTAAAGTCAATAACGAATCAGAAAAGTTCCAAAAACCCGCAGCAATTGAAGACAGAGAAGGAAAAGGTTAGAAACCAGGAAGCTAAAAGAGGCAAGTAGAGAAACAATGAAAACGAAACCAAAATCCATGACAAACCAATGGAAACAAACTCCACGATCCCCATAAAACATCAGAAAAATCAATCCAGAGCACAGGAGCTGGAGCGTTGACAAAATGAAAAGAACAGTAGGATTTCGGATCGGAAGAACAACTCACAAGAGGAACCGGAGCTCTGACGTTCTTGAAAACAACCGATGTACACTGATTCTCTTTGGGATGGTGACGGTGATGCCTGCGTATGTACTGAGCGTCCATAACTCCACATGGATCGTCGTCGTTCATGGCGATGGATTAGATCTAACTGAATTCCTTCCGCAGCTAGCTTGGCCACTAGAGTGTACAGAGAGACGGAGCTTCCTGAAGGTGCCGATAATGGAAGGTCTTGTGAGAAAGTAAGAGGCTCCGCTGGTTTGCAGGATTTGGCAGAGACGCAGTGCCCCAACCCTTTAGCTCTCTATTTTTATATATTACATTTAAAAAAAAAAAAAATTAATTAATTTAATTAATAAATAACACTTCCAGTTACTCACCCACTAATTTAATTATTTAATTATTTTTATTTGTTTCTGCATTGCAATCTGCAACTTGCAGAGGACCACTTCACAATTCGCCAATTACATTACACACTTTTTTATTTTATATCTTTTTTTATTCTTTTTTTAATTTCTTTTCTTTTCATTTTCATTTTTTTAATTTTTATATAATTTAAAAAATTAGAATTTAAATGTTTATAACTAATTTTGAACAATTTACCTAAAAAGCCTTTAAAATTCACAAAGGGGAAAAAAAAAACATTTAAAAAATAAATAAATTTTAATGAATGATTATGGAATTGGTGCTGTCGCCACCAATTTCTCTGTGGTGGATTCACATGCACTTCATCGTGGAAGCTACAACTCATGCTAACATTGTTCAGTTTTTTTTTTTTTTTTTTTAAATAAAATTTTAAAATGCCAAAACTACCCTTCCTAAGATTCTTCAGTTTTTTTAATAGGAAAAGTCTAGATTACCCTAGCTTTTTAATAATATTATTATTCTTTTTAAATATATATTTGTCACACTACAAAATATACATAATTTTCTTTATTTATTTTCTTTTGGAAGCTTCCTTCCCACTTGCTTATCTTAAATTCTCATTTTAAATATTATCTCATAAAAAGAGGTTTAAATTAATAAAACACCCATTAAAAGTTTTAATATTATCTTAAAGATATATTTAAAGGATTTCACGTTGAGCTTTAAAAAAAAATGATTAACTTTTTTAAAATAAATATTTCATTTAAACGAAATCGAGTAACATTAGTATTTTTAATTTTAAATATTTAATTGTAAGAACTTTTTTAAAAAATATATTAAGGATATCAACGCTACTATTTTAATAAATTCATTAGTATTTTTGAAACATAGTCGTCTTTTATTAAGAAATATAATTTTTTTATAAAAAAAAAAAAAAAGGACCATATGAAATTGAAGTGCAATGGATGTGATAAAATTTAATAGTTTAATAAACTATTTAGGTGGAATTGAAAAATAAAAATTAAGGGTCAAAATGTAATTTCATTTCATACTTAGGAGGGTTATTGCGTACTTGAGAAGTACGATTTGGCCCCTGGGGAAAAAATAAAATAAAATAAAATAAAGTCGTCTTTTATATATATATATATATATATATATATATATATATATATATATAATAATAATATATTATAAATATTTTCTTTTTCTTAATAAAGAAGGAAGAAAATAATAATAATAATAATTTCAAATGTCAACGTGCATGCCACTCATCCGCGTTACTTCCACTGTAATACTTTTAAATACACAAATATATTTATATTTGTTGTTTCATAAAATAATTATAATTTATTTATAAATTCATTCTCCGCTATTAAATAAACAATCGAACGTTAAGATATCTATTAGCCAAATATCTGACCCGTTACAACATAAGGTTGAATTTACAAAGATCGTACTATTGCTTATGATCGTATTATCGCCCTACAAAGAATACACACATTCTCAACAGAACAATACTATTGAACATAAAATCTACTCACAATACGCTAATCGAAGATCATAGTGTTGTTCTACAAAGACAATAAACACTCTCAACAAGAAAGACAAAATGTAATAACCCAAGGCCACGACTAGTAGATATTGTCCGCTTTGGCCCTTTACATATGGCCATCAGCTTCACGATTTTAAAACATGTCTACCAAGAAGAGGTTTCCACACCCTTAATAAACATGTGGGATCTCACAATCTATCCCTTTTGGGGACGAGCGTCCTCGCTAACACATTGCCCGGTGTTTGGCTCTGATGTTATTTGTAACAACTCAAGTCCACCACTAGATATTGTCTATTTTAGCTCGTTACAAAGAATGTTTCGTTTCTCTCTCCAACTGATGTGGGATCTATGTTAAGAACAAATGCAAAGTGTGAATGGAAGGGTGAAGATAGGGTTTTGTGGAGGGAAAGGCAAATAGAAGTAATTGTGGTTGATTGACTTTACAAGTATAAGATAACAATAAAGTATAAAGTAATGTTTAAAAAATGATAATATCCACCGACCAAACCAATTTAAAAACATAATTTGGTACAAACTTTACCCATTTGATAAAGAAACATGTTCCATTGAAGCGACATCCAACAACTTGCTTTAAAACTTATCACAAAAAAGGACCTCATCTTTCTACTATGTCACAAAATCAAAGTGGATTACATTATTACCATTAATGTACCAATTTTGTCCTTTTCTTTTTCCCTTTTCAACTCTTTTCTTTTAAATAATTAATTATATGGAGTCGGGTCTCTAAGGAGATCCGCCTCAAATGAAATGGGGAATCTCTGTTTAAACCAAATCACCGCCAATCATTTTCGTCTCTCTTTCCTTATCATAACTGCTCAATTGCCACATTCGAGTTATAACCATCATGGATCAAAAACAAGGAAGAATGAAACTGCCACCTCCAATTGAAACAGTGCAGAGAAACACATTTAGTGATTCGATCTATCGGTTCAATTAGGTTCGATCGACTTTTCATCGTTATAGGTTTGGTTCAATAATTTTCTACCATTCCCACTCAAGTCCATGAATAGGAAAGAATATAGTAGTCGAAACGAAACGAAATCGCAGAGGTAAGTGATTTTTTCTGTTGGGTGGTCTTAGAGTCAAGTAAGTTAGATGTATATGCATTTGTTTATTTTTGTATTTTATGTGATATGTAATAAATGTGCGTATGTCGAAATGTTATGAGAAATCAATAGCGGGACCTCATTCATGTATTGAATGACACGTGACTTCGATGAAAATAAAACTTGTGGCAACTTATCCATCATTAATTCTTATGTTGCTCGGTTTGGCTCCTCTGACCGGGTCAATTCAACAATTGGAGTAAAGTCTTCCAAAACTCTCTGGTAGGTACTCCAAAGAATTCACAACTTAATTGGTCTATATTTTTCAGAACGGATTCACATTACAAGCTCAATGACCTAGGATAGATTTTTTGTCACAAGCTAGAAAATCAGTATTTTCAAAGTATATTATATTGGGATCTATACCCTCTAGCCTCGTAATTATTTATTTTATTTTAAATAAATAAAAATTAATTATCTTGTCTACAATTTAATATTATTCACTGTATAAAAAATTCAAGTTATTAGTATTATCTATTTGACACGTGGAAGAAACAACCAAAATGGTTTATAGGATGTGTTATCCTAGTAACACTGATACAGTCTACTCATAATTATTACAAACGATTTGACTAAAATAGTGCATGTCATGTGAGTACGAGTTTCCAATACAATGAGTTTGTATAAGACTTGTTATAAAATATTTAATTTAATAAATCCAATAAGTAAGATGATAAATATCTCACTAAATAATCATATGTTACTCGATCTTAATCCTGAGTCAGTTATAAACTACTAATTTGCATGGGTGAGAGTGACTTGTATAGTCAATTCAATAAGTCCATCAATTTAGGATTTGACCAAATATAATGATTAGTGACCTAAAATTCAAATTCTCGGAGATATATAGTTCGTGATTTTAATAAGCGTAGAAGCTAGTAATTTTTTTCAGTTCCGCTACAATACCTAATTATTAATTTAGGGTCGGTAAGCTTGTATATCAACTACAAGCTAAACTGGTTATTTCAAAATTACTCGAGTGTTGAGTCTAACATGTAACTCGAACGTGTTCATACATGGTAGTTGATTAGGTATGAGATGTGATATGGAAGCTAGAAAGAGACGGGTGAAAAGGAAAGGGAAGAGAGACCGATAGATATCAGTTATGGGCATAGTTGGGATAATGGAACTCAAATTCGTCTTTTTGTGTTATGTTCAACGTTCCTTTAGTCATCATCTTCTTTTTACTTCTAGAAAAAAGCTAACTCTGAGTCTTAACCTTTCTTTTTCTTCTCTCTTTTTCTTGATGTTCAATATTATTATCTTAGCTTTATTTTTGTATTCAAACGCAATCTCGAGTCCTCACCAGTCACAAAAACTTACGCTTAAATTTATGCTATTGTCGATACAAACGTAGTCAAACGTGCAGCTGCTATGAAGATATAGAAGATAAACTTGCGCGTAGTTTCGCATAAAACTTACGTCAACCTTTAAATCACTTTTATTATCTCGAATCTAAATATGATTAGTTGTTTGATTAATAGAACTTGATAAATAAATATAACAATACCTACCACTACTTTAAAAAAGAATAAAAGAAAAAGAAAACTACCAATTATGGCCTGCCACGTCACTATCTCATTGAATGAATTTAGCATGGAATCTTTCAATAAAAAAGAAAAAGTGAGTTTTTTTTTTTTCGCGTATGCAAATAAATATTTTATAGGTTAAAAAATTTATGACGTAGATTGATGCATAAATGTTCATTGCGTGTAAAATTGTATATCTGATTAGGGCTAAAAAGTTAGAGGTTCGAATCTTTATTTAATACATCGTGAAAGAAAATTCAAATAAATTAGTATGTTGAAGTTGGTTTTCTTTTGTTTCTCGACCATGAATCTTTTTCTCCCTTTTGCTTGTTTTTTCAATCAATTGCGAGGTTCTAGATATGAGAGCGTATGGAAGAACCTAGTTGAATTGGATCAGAGTCCTAGCCAATTTCGACTAACTTTCTTTGGTTGGCTCTTCCTTTTCTCGTCAATGGACTCTTGACGGTTTGAATTAATATAATGATGTGGTTGGAGTGGTTAGGAGGTGAGCACAACTAAAATTGCATACCTTTATGCGGGGTATACCTCCATATTTAAACTATTGTCTCTCCACGTCAATGTTTATCAATACGATGGAAACAACAAGATTTCTTGATGTGACAAGTACCCACTATACAAGAGGATTTAGACGAGTGGAGGAGGAGGTACGACGTTACCCCATTCCTCAAGATCGAATCTAGGGACGTTGAAACTCGACATCGGCTAATTTAGAGAATGATCATGAGTTTATAATCAAAGAATATTATCTCCATTGAAATGAGATATTTTGGGAAGTCCAGAGCAAAACCATGAAAGTTTAGACTCAAAATAGACGATATTATATCTTTGTGGAGATCTGTGATTCTTAGCATTAGTGCATACGCTCAATAATCTTTGTTAATTGGGTAAGTCGGTCATTTTTTTGGGCTAAGATGCTTAGAGGGGTTAGATGGGCTTGGACCCATGTCTCGTTATCATATTATGTCATGTTAGTTGATAACAATTTTATTTTGTTTAGTCTTCCCATTCTATATGTTTTATTAATATATATATAATTGGATCGTAATCGACCATATATATAATTTTATAACTCAATTCAAGCTTATAGGTTGAGTTGGGTTGAGTGAAATTTTTGGTTATCAAACTTTTTTAACCATGGTGTCACGGTCGTACTTCTTCAACCGTGCGATGTCGTGATCTTGATATGCTCACGACAAGTTTTAAGGGGGACTCAATTCCCCTTCACATTTTTCGTTTGGCTTTGTGGTTTTGTTGGACCTTAGGTGATGTTTGTTTTCGCCAACTGAACATCACTGTGCCGAATCCAAACTTGTTCGGTTACACACGCTGCTCGTGCGTGCATGTTTAATCGTGTGTGACACAACACGTTGCATCTCATCGTCATCTTGGTTCTCAACAACACGACTCATGCACTGTGATGTCATCCCATGTCTCAGGATACATCGACCATTTTAGTTTGCTCGGACACATTCGTTGGGAACTGACCCACGTGTCGATTATCTCATTGGGACATCTCGAACGTTCATCCATCTGGGGTTCTCTCGAGCATTGGACTCTCTCGTGTCCATGCTAAGCCATTTGCGACATACGTTCTAGATAGCGAGTGCATAATCTAACCTCCGACTCATGGGTTAGGGCGCAATATTAGCACACTTGTGCATTTTAGTACTGTCCTTGAAAGAAAGACGTCTGAGACAGCTGAACCACAATGTGATACACGTATGTGTCATAGTGTAGCTCGTATAGGCCACAAGAGTGGTGGAGAGTCAACACCATGTCTCTCCCTATATTACATTTTGAGGCATTTCCAATCATTCTCGAGTAGACGTCAATTTGGTGAGTGGACATATAGGCTCATGCATAGTCTGTTCAGTATTTGATTGACACCAAATTTAGTGAGCTTTATCTTTTATATCAACGAACTTAATTCTCGAGTCGCATGTCCAAACTCATATCGAAACTCCGACTTCTGAAGTTATGACCCTAAAACCTACCAGACCATCTTTGAGCTTGTCTCCGATACTCGTGTCGCATTGTTCTCTTGGACTTTGCATATGTCTCGACTTATCTTCAATGAACACTCTTGGTATGTTTGATGATACACTGTCTTCATGGGTCACATCCTGACACTTTTCAATCTTGGCCCTCACATAGTCGGATGAGCGCCACTTGATAATCATCCTTTGTATGTCTTGATGTATCGGATCACAACCTACTTTCTCTCGATAAAATTGTGACACTTTACACCATTCATAAATTAGAATGATTTTTTTTCCACATTAGCCAAGTCTAACCTTTTAGACAGCCATTTGTCCTCTTGCTTTCATGCTATTTGCATCAATCTAATCATAAAATATTTGATATCAAAATTTTGTTGTCTTATCGCTTTCATGGCTACTTTCATCAATATCTAGTCATCGAATATTTGATATCAAAAAATAATAAATTTGAGAAAATATTATCCAAGTATACGTGTTTAGTACATGATATTTTATTAAATTAGAGTCACGTAATTAACCATCATGATAAATACACCAAAATTATGAGTTTTTTTTTATTTACTTATTATGATATATTTTTTTTGAAATATTTGCATTATATTTTAAAAGTATTTAAATCTTTAAATATTTGTTTTTATTAATTGAACTAAAAAAATTAAGGGCAAGATTTAAAAAAAAAAGTTAAATAATAAGTAAAATAAGAAAAAAAAATGGTGAAATTGTCTATATGAATTTAAAATATATGAATTTAAAAATTAAAAATTTGTTTACTTTGTATAATATTATAAATAGTTATCATAAGAACAAAATATTGCAAATTAGTTTCTTGCCACGTCACGGCAGCAGTCATATGTAAGACAAACTTGGCCAGAATTTTGAAAATATTGTCCCAACATTGACTCGGACCACCCTTTTAACGGTCAACGTATTGCCACGATCTCCAGTTCTCCTTTCGACACGTGTACGTCCCAAATTGATTCCATCGGGCCCACATCTGACACTCCAAAATTGTCAGCATCGATGGTGGCGTACAAAGGGACAAATTGAGTACCACGTGTCAGATTATAATTGGAAGCTTTTCGATTATCTTAATTTCACTTTATTATGTTTGGATTAACTTTTTAATCATAAATCATTAGTTTCATCAAACAGAGAACTCATAGTCTATATCTTGAATTGGGTGACGTGTCAATCACACTAGTGACAGCTTGTGCCGGCGCAGAGCCACAGCCGCCAAGCCGTAATTACCAGGCAATTAGACAAAACAAACTTCAGTTAATATTAATATATTTATTTATTAATTTTTAACATTGAATTAAAATTTAAAACTCAATTATAGAGCTAGTTAGGGAATAAATAGTGGAAAAAATAATTATAGAATTAAGAAAAATTAAAAAAGTTTATTAAAATAATTGAAGAAAATTGAAATGGAGACATATTGATTGAAAAGATGGACTGGCGTGCAAATATTAAATTTGAATTGAAAAGATTGAAATTGAGAGGTGGGTGAGGAAATGTTGCATCAAGACAAATATTTGCCCATAAAATTCTTTTTTTTTTTCTTTCTATATATATATATATATATATATATTTTTTTTTTTTTTCTAATATAAAATTCGATCTTAATTAACCAAGAAACGTGTGACATATGTTTTGGGCGTATCTTTTCAAAATTTAAATAATAATGTTTTGTTTTTCATTCCAGCACAAATTTTATCTATCTATCCTTATGTTTATATTTATTTGATTTTTTTTTTTTTGTGAAATTTTGGATGATTAAAAAAATTTAAATAGTTTTAATTCTTTTTTATTGTGGTGCGATATTAAATAATACTTTTCTATATATATATATATATATAAATAAAGTTGTTTCTAGATGAATTGAATTTAGTGGGGGTTATTTGGGTGTGCCAGGTGATCCGTACAGGTGAAACAAAAGGAACACTCTAGGTTAAAAAAAATATTATAAAAAAATGAATTAAATGATGAAAAATTAAAATAAATATATATATATATTAAAGAATGAAAACAAAAATGAATGGGGCATGGCAATAAATTAAAGAACTGATGGGCCAACAATTCTGATATTTATATTTGGAGCACGCCCCAAATGGACCCCATCTCAACTCTATAATTAAATCAAATTGGTATATTCTAACTACTAGAAAAAAAAAAATTTAAACTTCGAGAGGTATAATTCTAAATTATGATTTTGCAACGATCCTAACCTACTGTTATTGTCCTCTTTGAGCTTTTTTCTCTCTTGATTTCCTTCGAGACTTTAAAACACGTCTATTAAAGAGAGGTTTTCACGCACTTGTAAAAGATGCTTGAAGAGTCCGAAGTTTATTAAATGTAAGTCATGAGCCGCAATTTTTGAAAAAAAGAAAACAGTTAAAAATACATCATTAAAATAAAACAAAAAATATATAAATATAATAAATGACAGTGACAGTGATTGGGCGGTCGCCTACAATAACGTCACCGTCGTCTGCCCGTGATTCGATGCCCCGAGAAGATTCTGTCTTCTCCTCGTCGTTAACAGCGCCGTCAAAACTGAAAGCCAAGCCGACTCCCACTGAGCTGAGCCGAGCCGCTCTCTCAAAAATATCACCAAGCCGAATCCTGTGTATTTTTCCGTTTCCACCATTTTTCTATCATTCCATTTCCGATTCTCATTTCATAACAAATTTCCTGAAAATCAGAGCACAGTCATTGCTTAACAAGATTTTTTTTCCTCTCAGCTTTGTTTTCTCATCAATTCCCATCCTCTAATTTCCTTGTTTCATCCATTTGATTCAAACATCTTCCGTCGTTCTTTCTCGCACTTGCGGCTATCGATGCAGGATTTCATTTTGTTCTCGTCTTCTAGCTACTAAGCTTTGAGTAAATCTCAACTGCGAATTTCAACTGCCATTTTTGTTCAACAATCGATATCGTACGCATGTCTGAGCTTGGTTTCGGAGTTTAGGTTACTAAATTTGTCGAAATTACACATATTCACCGAGTTTTGAAATCTGGGTTGCAGGTAATATTGCCAGATCGTTAACCTTCCCTCCTTATTCTTGGGTTGTTCATATCTGTTTGAAGAAATGAAAATTGGGATTACATTGATTGTTGTAGTTTAATACCACTACTGTTTCGTTGTTAAACTGTATTGATGATGGAATTCAGAGTGCCCACGGAACTGAGTTGAACTTGAGATCCAATTGAGTTTAGACAATATATTTTCTCGTTTTCATCCTATCATGCTTTAGTGATTTCCATTCATAGTCCATAAGTATGTAACATGTGGTATTGGTTTGGAATTGAGTTCGTTATGAAAAGTGATTGTTTCTCTCATTTGAATTTTTGGAGCATGGATGTTTAATCTAGGAGGGCTTTGGATATTGTCTGTTGATGAACTTCACATGCTGGGAACATTATTCTGTCTCTTTAAATTAGAAAATAAATTAGAAAATCAGTCGTAGGTGGATTTCTAGCTTGGAATATAAAGCATTGTTTTGAAAAGTTGTTTTTTCTTTAAATGAATTAGAATGATTGGCAGTGGATTTCTAGTATGATTACTCTTTGGGTTTCAAACTATCTAAAGGATCCTGTTCTTTTTCCCCCATTCATCATTGGTCATTTTGCAAAGAATTTACCCAATGAATTAGCAACGTATTGGTTTTGTTAGCTTTTACTTTATGGTGTATATTTCTTACACTTCATCTTATCTGTCCTATTGGTTGGACTGGTGATTGAATAATTTGTATTCTGGTTTCAGGTGAAATAATCAAGCCTACAAGAGCTATACCTATGTATATAATCACGTTTTTTTCTGCAGCCTTCTCTGCACTTAAAGAATACCTAATTTGTATAGAGAGATGCGATCATTCTGCTTTCAACTGATATGAAGACTGCACAGGTTTCCTTTTATAATTCTGTTGTTGCTTTATACAAAAAGCTCGACGTTCCTCTAACTTCACCTTTTTACTTGTTCTTTGCCTACAACAGAACTTCTCCACTTACTCCTTTACTTCAAATTTTAGAATGATTTTTCAACTTCGTGGTGCTAATGTTATACTTCCAATATTGCCTAATTGAAAGAAGAAATGGATTTGGCTTTAAAATTTAATAGAATTCGGAGACATCGTTTTTTATCCTACGTGGTCCTTATCAGCCTGACATATTTCTGCCGTTGCCATTAAGAAGTGTGCTGCCTCGTATGATATTATATGTCGGATCATATTACTTATGCCTGCGAATATGGAAGTTTGATGTGACTGTTGGACCTCAATCCTTGTTGATATTCTGGCTCTTGGACATTTTATGTTGTATTTTCCCCTGCAACTCATTATAGTATTTAGTTTCCGAATCGATTACTATTAATTGGTTATTGTCACACTTATAAATCCAATTGTCATTCTAAGATCCTTACTTGACATGCATAGAGAGCTCAAGATGCAAAAAAAGCTCTGGATGATACCAAAAATAACCTACCAAACAGCTACAAAACTGAGGCTCCTATAACAGACACAGGTTCGATTTCTGCCTCAAACAATGATGGCAAAAAAATTTCTCACCAAGATATTGAATTTGTAAGCCACAGATTCTTTCTAATTACAATGACCATTAGTTTCTATATTTATTTTTTCATCTTCAATGTTCTGTTGTGATTTCTTATCTCTTTATTGTTGAATGAACTGGAATGCTGTTCTAGGTCCAGAATTTAATAGAGCGGTGCCTACAGTTATACATGAATAGAGATGAGGTGGTTAAGACCCTATTGAATCGTGCAAGGATAGATCCTGGATTTACGTCATTGGGTAAGTTTAGGAGCTTTGATTAAGTTCTATGTTCTAATATTCGTGTTCAATCAAATAACAATGATTGTAAACAATTACTATCACTCCACATACACTTATAGATAATTATTACGTATCTATTATTGTTTATTAATGTTCTGGACTTTCCTCATTCAGTTTGGCAGAAGCTGGAAGAAGAGAATGCTGATTTTTTCAGAGCCTACTATATAAGATTAAAATTGAAAAAACAAATCCTTCTTTTCAATCATTTGCTTGAACATCAATGTCGTCTCATGAATTATTCAATACCTCCCAAAGTTCCGTTAGCTCCTATGCAGAATGGAATTCATCCTATGCCTGGTAAGCTCTCATATCGCCAAACAGATTATGTAATTATCTAGCTCAGTGGATACCATGGATGCTGGGTTGCCAAGCCTAGTTGTAGCTCTGCTCTTAGATAGCTTAATTTTATATATTGAAGTAAGAGAGTTACATGTTGCAAGATACTAGTATTTTGTTATTCATCACTACTTATTTTCAGTGCAGTTAACAACTTACCAATGGGATATCCAGTCCTTCAACAACCTCCTATGTCAATGCCAGGTCAACCCCACATGGATACCATGCGCTCTGGGATGCCAAGCTGCCATGTGGTCAATGGAGTTCCTGCACCTAGTAACTTCCATCCTATTAGAATGAACTCTGGGAACGAGTAAGAAGACTGCTCTAGTAAAGCCATTATTAATATTCATCCTAAAACATTCAATACTGTGGCCTCGATGAAACAAAAAATAGAAAGTTATAAAATGGTCAATAAGATTGCATAAAATGGAAATATGTTTAAACTTAGACGAAAAAATGTGATACTGTAAAAGAATTTGGCATGTTTATTGAGCAAGCACCCTTTTCAATATAGTTTCTATTACCTCTAGGGGAGTGGTAATTATGCACAAGTACTAGCATGGGATGTCATGGCTCATGCTGCTAGTCTTGCCATGATATCATTGATCATTACTGCTTCGCTAAATTCTCCTCAAGAAAAATCAGCCATGTTCATGTGTCTGTGTGGTAGATTTTGCATGGAAGAAACTTGTGCTGGAGTTTTGAGTATCTACAAACAAAGCTAAAGGAACTACATCCAGTGATATAAAATCGTACTAATATGCATGGGACTAATGACCAATGGTTAAGATATTGCCTCTAGGATTCATTTGCCGACTGTAAGAGAGCATTTAAAAATTTTCATGGAGGATAGTAATCCAGTATTTACATTCATTGGTTTCATATATTGATCTCACTTTTCACTTGAACTTGTAGTTATTTTATTGCATCTAATACTTGTTCTTATTGAAGTATGTTGATGAACAGCGTGGCTGATGTGGCTTCTGTTATTCCACCAAATTGTACAATGTCCTCCATGTCAGAGATGTCTATGAGTCCTACATCGGTTGCATCCAGTGGTCATTTCTCATTCACTGCTCCAGAAATATCTGGAATTGGAGTAGATACTTCTGCACTTGATACTGCATTTACATCAGAAATCGTAAATTCAGTTGGTCTGCAACTTTCGCAAGATGATGGAGCAGGAAATTCCAGGGATTCTCTCAGATCATTGGATCTGATTCAGTGGAATTTTAGTCTGTCAGATCTTAAAACAGATTTATCAAATTTGGGAGGTAATTTCTAGATGATTTGTAGATTTCTCTAATTTTGACTCTTATATTGATGTCTACAGAACTTTTAGCAGTATCATATCACCTTTTCAGATCACCGTAATTTCTTTGGAATATTACTTCACAAGGCTAGAATAATAAGCATTGTTCTAAATTGGACTTATTTTTTCCTCCTCCATTTAGCTAGGTTTACAACAAGAAACAGGGTAAATACTAGAAAGGGTAAACGTTGCGAAGGGTCAATCACTTCGGCCTTTATACTAGGCAATAAGAAACATCTAAATTCTGAAAAATGCATCTCCAAACGCCCAAGCTAAGCTAGGTGATCCTGATCACAAAGATTTCAATAGAATGGGAGAGAGAAATCAAGCTGGACAAGAAAGGGTGACCAGACATTATACCATTCAAGTTATAAATTATTGAAAAAGGAGAGTCAGTAGTAGTCCCTGCCCCCTCGATGGCCAGCCAATACATAAAAGAATGATGAGAAATAAGCCATTGAAAACCGAACAACTTTAACCACCTAGCAGTAGTTCAACAATCCTTTTTGCAATAAATAGAGCAGGACGTAAGAGTGAGAAAAAGCTTTCCCTATCTTGTGAACAAGGGCAACAGTTTCAAGGGAAATTTGCCTCTGAAGTCCAACTCAAAATATTTGAAAGCTAGAGGATGTCTGACTTGATTGACAGATATCCTAATCGGAGTCGAACAAATATACTGTGTGGATGAGTCTATGCGTTGTTCATTCAGCGATCACCCTAGATTGAAGCTGTTCATTCATCCCTGATATGAATATAGCCGTGGGGTATCCTTCAGATGACCGATTGAGGAATTGTTTGGGAATGGTGGCCTTTTACTTTAGTATCATTTGAATTTAATTTTTCTTTTCCTTTTCCAATAAGTTACTTCAGTCAAATTGTTATGAAGTTTTTCTTTCGATCTTTTTTAATTTTCCGTAAGGAAAAGTCTTGTGTTGGTCTATAGAAGTTGATAGCTTTTAGGAAGAGCTTTAAATAAGAATGCAAAATCCTAATTCGTTGGCAGTTTTCACTTTTCTCTTGGAATAACTTTAAGCATATTGATGAAATCTCTTCAAATTGGTGCAGATTTAGGACCATTGGGGAACTACCCTGGTTCTCCATTTTTGCACTCCGACCCAGAAATTTTGCTCGATTCACCAGAGCAAGACGACCTAGGTATGGGAACTGCAAGACTCTTTTCAGCTCTAAATTGTTTGATGTAACCAAAACCACCCTTTTTATCATGACAAGCAATTTTGGCAAACGTTAATCATTTTACATTTGTTCGTTACTCTTTTCTTTCTTCAAGTATGATGACTCTTGCGACTTAGAAGTTCCTAGTTGTCCATGGAAAGTTGAATGACATAGATTTTAGATATCAACTATGCAAATTTAAGAAAGCCAAGAATTCGAGTCTAAACCTTTATGTACATAACTTATCATTTGGCCACTCACTAACGTCTCAATTTTATCGCAGTGGAGGAGTTCTTTGTTGATTCTGTCCCTGAGCAGCCAGACGAAGAGAAGTCCTAGAGAAAGGCGACAAAGGTTTTTTTTTTCCCACTTGAATAAGTAGGATAGTATAAGATTTGATCAGAAATCAAGAGCTCATTTTCTATTCACAATAGGCATCCAGTAATTTTGTCATCAACAATTTCAATTATTTAAAAATTTTAGTCACATAGCTTGGTTGGTTGGTAGGATTGTAGATAGGGATGTAGTCATGTAGGGGAAGCCGTGCTTCTCTTGTGCCGCTCATTTTAGAGGTCTCCAGTTTCTTGGAAGTTGAACAGTTTTTAATCCCTTGTCTGGTCTGGACTAAAGAGTCAATTACAACAATCCCATAATTATCGTATTTTTTAGATGTTTAATTGTTCTATCTCTTGTTTAATGGCGCAGGTAGCATAATATATCAACTAAATAAAACATCGTTAAGCAATCCTTTAGTGTTGTTTTAGATTCAATAGTCTGTTCCGGAGACAGATTTTTAAGAACCTGCAAGTTGACTTGCAAAGTTCAAGATTACTACTCACTTGTGATCATAATTAAGGACATCGTTACAGGCTCATAAAAGTATACTTTCGTGGGTAAACTTAAGAGAATCGTTGTATGGTCTTAATGAACATGTTCTGTTCTAAATACCCACCAGCTCCCTAATTTTACACAGTTCATGACATAGCAGTTGAAATCTTGTTGATTACAAATCTAAATTTCTAGGAGAAAAGGAGATACAAGCTAGTTAGGCCACTGCTCACAAATGTTTTTGTTTCCGGATTAAGTATGTCAGGACAGGAACAAATAGTTGAGAAGGGTGGGCCATTTCTCTTTCCTCTGCACTTAAAATTGTTCTGGTAGGTTGAAGTCTCTTCGAACACTTAAACTTCCCATTTCAAAAGTACCTTGCTTTTCAATCTTTTGAAATGAGTTTTTCCAGCACCAAAGTTGAATAGTGCCTGACATTATGCTAGCTTGCTTCGACTGTCTCTACTTACATTTGCTGCATTGCCATCATTTTCAACGATCATTAACCTTATCAGCAGCAAAGCTTGTGTCAAATCCTTATCACTATCAAATGTTCATCTTTTAATGTGAAGAATTGTTTGGGATTTGTTGTCTAAAAGTAGCTTTTTTTTTAATTTTTTTTTACGTTGATCTGTTTATAAAGAGCCCCTTGTTTGGGTACTGTTGTCAAAATAGCACTTTTTTTTTTGTGTGTGCTTATGTTCCAGTTGATTGGTTCTTGGAAATCACAACTCGTAAGGTCTGAACTCGGTGGTGCAACTTAAAACTTCATGGAAAGGGAGCCGAATTCTTTTGATACTCAAATTTGACTTTTAATATTTTTCGGAGGAAGATATGTATTCTCTTCATAAGTTTGATTTAAAGTATGTATATAGGTGGTTATTATATTTGAAACATCCTCCATAGTCATATATGTACTAAATATTAAATAATGAATCTACTCGATATATGCACTATCGTTATGGTGATACATATACCTATCAAATAAATCTAACTCCACTTGGATATAATCTTTTCGAAATTTGTTAAGCGATATTATCAAGAATTGACATCGACTCATACATAACCCTATCAATCTTATTTTGAAACGTGAAGAAACTCATAAACATCATATGGGATGTGCTTAGCTTTTGTTGAATGGGCTCAATGATGATGGACAGTTAAAATTTGATCATGGGTTTACTCTAAATATGTCGATGGTTCATAAAGATGATTGTAGTATTGCTTGTAAAATGTTTAACTAAACCAAACACATAATTAGATTCAAATGAAGCATCATCAAGCAATCCTTTATGTTGTGAATATGTTGTGAACGGGTCAAGATTATACTTATGACCATAATTAATAACAACTTTAAAGCCTCTTATTAAAATACACTTAGAGTCTTTGATGCTTAAGTTAATACTTACGCTCGAAGGTACGATAAATCTCAATATTTATAGGAGTCTCCATTGTCACCTCCTAAGATTTTGACCCATGCACGCCTTAACTCAGTTTTTCTGAGCTTGATAAGCTATTTCCTATGGATCATCGAACCATTTTCCTTGACAAAGCGAGCTTGACAAGCCTTTTCGTAGGAGTTCGGTTGACGATAGACATTTTTTAAACTTTAGTGACTTGTTAGAATAAAAATGAAAGTTTATGAATTTTTTAAATACTTAATAAAGTTTAGAGTTTTATTTAATGCAAATTTGAAGTAAAAAAGAACTTAAACGTTTCTTTAATATCTCTTCACATAATTTGGAGTAACATTCATCTTTTATCAATTAAAAAAGAAGCCTTGCTTTTCATCCCAAAATCTGAAGGATCATAACTATCACTTTAAGGAATATATTGTGATATTTGTCCTCATCGTTCTTTCTCCGATGAGAACCCCACTTCTTTTCTTTATTAAAGTAGTGAGAAAAAAACCATGGCAACTGCTTTAAATATCAACTTTCCACTTCACACAAAAACGGGATATTCAAGGCCGAAGGTATGAACTTTGAAAAGTTTTGTAGGTTGCCACTTGGGTTGTTCTTAATTTGTAGCTTGCTCAGCAATATTTACAGCTTTTTTTTTGGTTGCTTGTTCTTTGAGTTGAACAATTAGATTCGAAGATAAGTGTTCATTATTGCGAGACTTCACAACGGTTGGAGAGGAGAACGAAACATTATTTATAAGAGTGAGAAACCCTCTACTAACAGACGAGCTTTAAAAACCTTTTTTATGAGGGTGAGAAAACCTCTCCCTAATAGACGATTTTTAAAAATGGAAACACAAAAGAGAAAACTCAAATAGGACAATGTCTACTAGTGGTAGGCTTGGGTTGTTACAAATGGTATCAGAGCCAAATGTCGCAACCATACTATAAAGGGGGTAGGTTGTGACCCTCACGTCATGACAAGCAAAGCGGCGTCCCTCAAGAGACATCCATCCGGCCACTGCGGGCCAATATAGAAGAGTGCCATGACGCGATCGAAGAGGACGATGCATCATCCAACACACCACCACGCGAGGTGGGCATTGAAGACTAGTTGAGACATAAGCAAGACAAAGACATCATAATGCACATGAAGGGCAAAAATAGGCTTGTTGAAGGGCCGGGTAGAGCCTCGGGTCTTAACCTCAAAAGTCGAGATTTTGAAAGGGAATTTGGGCATACGGTTCGAGAGTTAAGTTCGTCCATATGAAATATGAATGCTCACCAAGTTTGGTGTCAATCGGACACCGGACGGACAATGCACGACACCGTATGACCGTTCACCAAAATCATGTCTATGCCTGAAAGATTGAAAATGGCTCAAAATGTACTACAGGGTACCATGGTGTTAGCTCTCCACCACCCCTGGCCCTGTGGGCTAAGTGAGCTACCTTATGGCACATACGTGTGTCACAGTGTGTGCGAGCGTGCCGAGATGAGTGTCTCGGGCAACTTCCTTTGAAATGGGTTTTTGAAGGACAGTACCGGACGACATGGGTGTGCCGGTACCCTAGCCTGCGTGTTGGAGGTTGCTACATACACCCGCTATCCAGTACGGTATCCGTAAATGACTCAGCATGGGCACGGGAGGGCCAATGCCTCGATAGAACCCGGATGGATGGATGTTTGGGAAGTCCCGTTGAGATGAAAGACACGCGGGCCCATTCTCGATGGCATGACCGAGCGAGTTATGATGGCCGACAACATCCCGAGACTCGGGGTGGCGTCAAGACATATGGACCCTGTTGATGGGGATTGAGATGACAAGATGAGATGCGATGTTGCATTGAGAGACCTTGGCTCGAACAGAGGCAAGGTCGAGCTGAATGACTTGGCCTAGTGTAGAGGCAAGTCGGATGTGTCGCAGACGATTGAACATGCACGCATAGTCGGTGTGTGTGGTTGAACAAGCTTGGATTCCACACAAGCGATGTTCGACTGACGAAGACAAACCTCGCCTAAGGTCCGACGAAGCCACAAAGTCGGGGCAAAAAATATGTGGGGCTTAATTCCCCTTAAGGTTAGTCGTGAGCGTGTCAAAATCACGATGCTGCACGGTAAAAAAATGTAGGACCGTGACACCAAGCACCGATGATGTGCCAGCGAGAAGGCTGAGCCCCCAAAGAAGGGTTGACATGAGGTGGTGTGTTAGCAAGAAGACGGGGTCTCGAAGGGGTGGATTGAGAGACCCACGATTGGAGAGGGGAATTGTGGGATCCCACATTGATTGGAGAGGGGAATGAGTGCTAGTAGGCCCTAAAGGGGTGGATTATGAGATCCCACATTTGTTGGAGAGGGGAACGAAGCATTTATTAAAAGGGTGTGAAAATCTCTTCCTAGCAAACGCGTTTTAAAAACCTTGAGTAAAAGTTCGAAAGGAAAAACTCAAAGAGGATAATACCGCTAGCAGTAGCTTGAACGGTTACAATTACGGCTACTCTAACTGAGACATTGTTATTTCACTGACAGGCACCAGACAAACCAGAGAAGGATTATTCTGCTTAGTTTCTTTTTGGTAACAAATTGACATGCATGTAAACTGTTTGTTGAAAGGTCCCAATGGCTGTAGCGAGTTAAGGAAGTGGGATATAAAAGCACTTTGTCAAAAAGCTCTAATAAAGACAAAACATTTTCTTGTACCTCACATTGGCCTTTGCTTTACCACCTGATTGAAGGGATTTTCAGCCTTCAGTTTTTCCTGTCTCAGCCCTTCTGGCTTCCATTCAACAACCTAAAGAACATGTTTTTCTTTATAACCTTAAGTACCACTTCTTGCCTTTCATGCAAGTGACCATATTTATGGGTTCCCAGATACCAAAAACTGTAAGGTCTGAACATTCTTAACTCTCTCTGTGACTTTCTTTAAGGAAATCTGGTTCTTGTTGTCCTAATTGTTTTGCTTAGTTCAACGATAATCACGATATGTTTTAACCATCTGAGCTATGTCTATCGACTTGCTTGATTCTATCAACACTGATATATACTCCCTTGATCAAATAGGTTTGGACAACCAACTTCTGACTTCCATGACAGATATGGAGGCTACCAAAACAGAAGCAGACTGTCTCCAAGCTCAATGTTGGAATGCTTACACAGAGGATTAACACAAATAGGCTTCAAACCAGAATTTTGGAAGAAAATTCTTGATCCACAGAAGTCATTTCTTCAGCAATGGAACAAGATATTTGTGCTGTCCTCTGTCATAGCAGTAGCTGTGGACCCTCTCTTCTTCTACGTCCCAGTATTTGATAAAGACCGTCAATGCCTAACCATGGACCAAGATCTTATGACCATTACTTGTGTTCTTCGTTCATTCATTGACTTGTTTTATCTACTTCACATGATCTTTGAGTTTCGAACTGGTTTTCTTCCCCCTTCTTTGCCTGTGTTTGGAAGTGGTGAATTAATTGAAGACCCAGCAGCTATAGCAAAGAGATATCTTTTCTCAAACTTCTTGATTGATATCTTATCCATTCTCCCACTGCCTCAGGTATAATTTATTTGGAATGTTACATATTGGTTGATGAGCTCTTTAAAGCACAGTCCAAAATCTCTCTTTCATGACATATTACGAACACCCTGTGCTTGTTTTGTTCTGTATCCCGGGTTTAGGTTAGGAATCACGACTCTCCACAATAGTATGATATTGTCCACTTTAAGAATAAGCTCTCGTGGCTTTGCTTTAGACTTCCCCAAAAGGTCTCATACGAATGAAGTTGTATTCCTTACTAATAAACCCATGATCATTTTCTAAACTAGCCAACGTGAGACTCCCTCCCGACAATCCTCCCCTTGAACAAAGTACGCTATAGAGCCTTCCCAGAGGCCTATGGAGGCCCTTGAACAACCTCCTCTTACTCGAGGCTCGACTCCTCTGAAGTCCTTGAACAAATTACACAATTTGTTTGATACTTGAGTCACTTTTGACTAAACGCTTGAGGCTCATAACTTTTTTGTTTGACATTTGAGGATTTCATTGATATACTTGAGTCACTTTTGACTATACCCTTGAGGCTCATAACTTCTTTGTTTGATATTTGAGGATTTCATTGATATGACCAAGTTAAGAGCATGACTCTGATACCATGTTAGGAATTACGACTCTCTACAATTGTATGATATTGTCCACTTTGAGCATAAACTCTCATGGTTTTGCTTTAGGCTTCTCCAGAAAGCCTCCTAACCATGGAGATGTATTCCTTACTTATAAACCTATGATCATTTCCTAAATTAGCCAACGTGGGACCCTCCCTACCATCCTCAATTGGATAGATTCTTGTGAATCATTTGTTTGAAGTAGCATTGATTGTCTCACTTAAGAACATAGTCTTTTCATGTCATTCAGCTTTTGGTATTAGTAATCATACCTGCAGCGAAAGATCCAATTCCAACAAAGACAGAGAACATCGTGAAGATTGCGGTTCTTTTGCAGTATATTCCTAGGCTTCTTCGAATTTATCCACTATACAGAGAAGTAACCAAAAACTCTGGCATACTGACAGAAACTGCTTGGAGTGGAGCTGCCTTCAATCTTCTTATTTATTTGCAAGCTTGTCATGTATGTGTTCATTTGATTTTATAGCCATCCAAAAAGCATCCCTTTTTATGTTTCGGTTTAAAAGAAGTTCTCTTATAAACAGTGAATTTGATGATCAGGTTGTTGGTGCCATTTGGTATTTGTTATCAATAGAACGCCAAACCAAATGCTGGCTTGTGGCATGCATGAAAGATGACTGTACAGACAATTTTTTGTACTGTGAACGTCGTAGTAAACCAATGTCCTCTTCTACAATCAAGTTTTGCTCTCCTAAGAAATCTAAAGATGACAAGACAAAGACCTTCGACTTTGGGATGTATGCTAAAGCCCTTGAGTTTGACTTTACCAAGACGAGTTTTCGCCACAAATTCTTCTATTCATTCTGGTGGGCTCTGCAAAATGTCAGGTTGGTAAACGTTTTCTACTGTGAGATCGGTTGGAGAGGAGAACAAAACATTCCTTATAAGGGTCGGAAACCTCTCTTTAGTAGACGCGTTTTAAAACTGTGAGACTGATGGTAATACATAACGGACTAAAGCAGCCAATGTCTGCTAGTGGGCTTGAGCTGTTACAAAAAGTATTAGAGCTCTAGACATTGGGTGATGTGTCTGCGAGGACGCTGGGCTCCCAAGGGGGGTGGATTGTGAGATCCCACATCGGTTGGAGAGAGGAACAAAGCATTCCTTATAAGGGTCGGAAACCTCTCCTTAGTAGACGCGTTTAAAAATTGTAAGGCTGATGGTGATACGTAACGGGCCAAAGTAGACAATGTCTGCAAGTGGGCTTGAGCTGTTACAAATGGTATCAGAGGCAGACATTGGGTGGTGTGTCTGCGAGGACCCTGGCTCCCAAGAGGTGGATTTTGAGATCCCACATCGGTTCGAGAGGGGAACGAAGCATTCCTTATAAAGGTGTGGAAAACTCTCCCTAGTAGATGTGTTTTAAAACCGTGAGGCTGATAGCGATACATAACGGACCAAAGTAGACAATATCTGCTAGTTGTGAGCTTGAGCTGTTACAAATAGTATCAGAGCTAGACACTGAGTGGTGTGCCAACAAGGACGCTGGGCTCCCAAGGGCGGTGGATTGTAAGATCCCACATCGTTAGAGAGGGGAACGAAACATTCCTTATAAGAGTGGAAACCTCTCCCTAGTAGACACGTTTTAAAACAGTGAGGCTAACGACAATACATAACGGACCAAAGCAGACAATATCTGCTAGTGGTGGGCTTGAGTTATTACACACATGTTTCTTCGTTACTTTACCAGAGAATTTGATATGATATATGTGAAGCTATTGTTATAAGCTCCAAGTTTCCCGGATAATCTTAAGTTAATGCTTTGGGGCTACATACACTCTAAAAGAACTTGCCTGTCTCGTTACAGCTCAAGTGGACAAAACCTTAAAGTAAGCAACTACATGGGGGAGGTTCTTTTTGCTGTCTTCATAGCCATCCTTGGTTTGGTTTTATTTGCCTTACTCATTAGCAATGTTCAGGTCATTCATGTTTCTGATATCATCACTCTTCCATATTCTACAACTCATTCCCTATCTAACTGCTCCAACTTTCAACTGTGAATCATTCCCCTTGTGACAGAAATACCTTCAGTCAACAACTGTTAAAATAGAGCAGATGAGAATCAACCGACGAGATATCGAGCATTGGATGGCACATCGTATGCTCCCGGAGGACTTAAGGCAGCGTATTAGACGATACGATCAATACAAATGGCAGCTAAATAGAGGAGTTAAGGAAGAGGAACTCATTACTAACCTTCCTAAAGACCTTAGGAAAGACATCAAACGCCATCTTTGCTTGTCCCTTCTTAAAAAAGTGAGTTCTTTTCAAACCTTGTCATTTTCGGATGCCTATTTATATTAAAAGATCTGGTAGAGATATAAGGTAGATATTTCGTAAAGATTTGGTAGGTGGTTGAATCTGTTAAAGCTATATTTAATAAACGGAAACAATATAGGCACTATGTATTCTCTGTTCGTGTACATACCTGAAGTCATCAGACGAAACTTTCATGGTTTGTTAACTCCAAATGGTTTAGGTGACACTTTTTAGCAACATGGACAAGCATCTACTAGACTCGATGTGCGAATATCTCAAGCCAGTGTTATTCACAAAGAGGAGCTTCATTCTGCAAGAGGGTGACCCAATTGATATGATGCTATTCATCATGAAAGGAAAGCTAGCTAACATTATAACTTTTGGTTGGAACAACAAGCCTTACACGGACATACTTAAAGCAGGCGACTTCTGTGGTGAAGAGCTAGTTCAATGGGCAATGGATCCAACCTCCACTTCTCTTCCCATTTCAGCTAGAACAGTTGAGTCTCTTACTGAGGTTGAAGCCTTTGCTTTAAAGGCTGATGAGCTGAAATTTGTGACCAGTCAGTTCCATTTCCAGCGCCTTAATAGCAGGCAATTTGAGCACAGAGTGAGGCATGTTTATATGAACTGCTGCTTTGATTCAGCTGCTGCTGAAGTGATTGATATGTAATGGTTTTTCTTTTTTTAGATTCTATTCTCATCAATGGAAAGTTTGGGCAGCCTATAAGGTACAAGAAGCTTGGCATGATTACGTTGAAAGAAAGAAGAGAGGGGGTGGAGATGGTAGATTTCAAGATGCATTGGCTAAAACAGTTGGTGTCTCGGCGAGCTTTGGCGCCACTCTATATGCATCCATGTTTATATCATATCTGTTGCTTGCTGTGCAGCGTGATCAGCACCAGAAAACTGCTCCTTTCACACGAGTGATGACGCTACCGCCGCCTCGGAAGCCAGACGATAAGCAAGACGAGCCAAACTTCACCATCTTGAATCGTTAAAAATGTGTTGTTTCGCTCTTCTTCGTGTTTGAAGGTTTGTGTCTATTTGATCTTTGAAATTTGAACTCAACTTTGAAATGTCTAATAGATCTCTACATAGCTTTTTATTTTATGTCTAATAAGCTTTTGAAATTCAAATTTTATCGTTATACACAAAATTTGATGTTTAGAGTTCTATTAAACAAAAAAAATTCTAACGAGATAGAATAGAAAATATGCTAAAATCTTATTAGACGAAAAGTTCAAGAATCTATTAAATATTCTAAAGTTCAGGGTCTATTAATTACAAAATTGAAAGTGTATTATTAAACACTAAAAAGTTGGGAGACTTTTCCGTACTTTTTAATACTTCTTACATTTATGATACTCGTTGTCCCCAAATTCACCATTAAAATAAGAGAAATGGGAAGAAATTGATGAACTATTGGTAATCGTTCTTAGAGTATTATTAGGAAGTAAATAAGGATTATTGAGACCAAGACTCGATCTTATTTTGAAACGAAGACGAACTTAAAGAAGAACATCATATGGGATTTTGGCTTGGTTTATGTTGATTGGGATCAATGATGATGGCAATTCCCAACCTCATTTGGTAGGCCACTTCCAAATTCAAAGCCTTCAACCCTGCATCCCAATACACACCAACACCAAAATATTAGCATCCAATATCATAGCCAACGCATTTTTTTGTTTAGATTTGTCCCTTGAAAATGCTTTTTAGATTCATGGCGCGAAGGAAAAGGAAAAGGGAATGTTAATTTGATTACTCTGAGCAGTTGGTGGAATTATCGATGGGAGGAATTTGAACTGGGATTCCGCAGCCTTCGGGAATCGAAGGAATGCGATTCGGATCATAAGCTCCGATCATCGACAAACTCTTCTTGATACACTCGCACAAATCAACCTTATCGTTCTTCGTTTTAGCATCGGCGGCCAACTTAGTAACGCCACTGCAGCACGACGGCGGTGGATTCTCTCCAAGAAACCCTCCGTCGCTGCCTTTGATGAAGCTCAAACATGGTGATAGCTCCTGCGCCACCAGTATGCAGCTTCCCATGTCGACATTCTGAGACAGCGCGACCATCATGGAGCTTGTAAGCATGGCGATGAAGGTTAGTGCACTGATCATCAAGCGGAGATTGTAGATTCCTGACATATTTCACTTGGGAATTTTTACAAACACTTGGTGGGTTTACGATTTTGTGTGTTTTTATATCAGTTTCTTGTGTAACGATTCCTGAAATTCTGCTACCATGCCGATTTTATGAGTTTCTTTTGGTTATTGACACACAAAAAAGTGGGGTTTTCTTAAATTACTTGAATCTCTGTACACTGACTTTGCATTGTTGTGTTCTTGTTACGTAGAAGAATTGAAGTTAGTGAGAAGGGGAGGGAGAGGGAGAGTTTCGACAAAGAGGGCAGCTGCTGTTGACACGAAGCCATTGATCAATACAATCCACATGGAAGCAATGCTTGCACTCAGGAATGCATCTGACCGTGTCTTTAGTTAAGTACTCTCCAAGGCATATGGGGCAGGTGGTGCCATTGGGGCCTGGCAGCCGCCGGCTTTCTCCAAGGATTACCTTCTGATATGAATCAATGGTTGATTCGTCCAGACCACTCAAACGGATCGGTGGCTCTGTCTCTAAAGCTGGATTGACCTGCTGCTGATTCTGAGCTTGGTTTCTTCTGCTGTCTGCAATGCCATAGCCCCACCTTGCGAAGCAGATAAAGCAGCCAAATCCAAAGACACACATCAAACTCGGTAGAATAATCACCACACAGATGATCCGCAATATTCTGAGACCATTATTCTCCCCTGAAAATTAAGGTATTTCATCATTTAAAGTTTGATATTTTTGCAAACTATATCATGAATGATATCATTAAGAGACGTGCAGCTGAGAACAAATGTCTTTGTCATTCCTTCATCATCCATGATATTCTTCTGTTATTACTTTAATCTCAACTTGCCTATAATATAAGCTTTATCTATGTCTTAGTCAACCAAGAGCCAGTCTAAGATTCATATAGCAGCCTGTATCTTTATTTTTGCAATATGGGTTAAAGTTGACCATGATTTGAAGAAAACAATGATTTATTTTTATTTGACTTTTTATGTAACAACCCTAGATTTCTACTTAACCTAAAGTCGTTACTGTATATACATATAGTCTACAAAATTAAATGCAGTCTAGCCCTATACTAACCTATAGTCTACAAAAATAAAATGCAAACTACCCTATGCATGTGACATGGTCTCTTGAGTTGCGATGTCATTGTCAGCCGTACATGGGAGTCTTGCCTTTACTTGGAAAATAGGAGTAACACATGACTTGAGTATTTTAAGAAATACTCAATAACATGGGAGTCTTGCCTTTACTTGGAAAATAGGAGTAACACATGGCTTGAGTATTTTAAGAAATACTCCGTAAGTGACCCCACTGTAGGAGTTAAATGTAAGCACACACAATCATGAATTTGACCTATCATTTAAATCCGTATTCCCTTAGCCGACTATCCTAAGCGGGTAATGAGATGTATATTTACTATTCTACGCACGGCTCGCACGTGATTGTGTGTGCTTGCATCTACCCCAATAGTAAGGTCACTTAATGAGTATGTCTTAAAATACTCAAGTTATGTGTTACTCTTATTTTTCAAGTAAAAGCAAAACTTCCATGTACGGCTGACAGTGGCATCACAACTCAGGAGACCATGTCACGTGCATAGGGTAGTTTGCATTTTATTTTTGTGGACTATAGGTTAGTATAGGGCTAGGCTGCATTTAATTTCGTCTGACTATAGGTTATTATAGGGCATTGATGTTTTATTTTACTTGTGTTCTTTTAACTCATGTTAAAGTGTTTTAAGGACCTTTCATAGTTTAAATGATTATTTCAGCATAAAAAAGAACTAGGTCGTTACATTTTCCTCGAACAATGCATTCTCGAAGATGAAGAGTTTAAAAATGAACGTGAACTTAGGAAATAGCAACAAAGGGTAGAATTTTGACCTGTTGAGTACTTATTGAAACAGGCAATGCCGAGGCCGCTGTTGCTTTTGAACCCACAAAGCCTGCCTTCTGTTTCGCAGATACTGCAAGCAGGGCTATTCCAAGTTAGCAGGAGATCACCATAGTGGTCGGTTAGAAACTGATTGGCCTCATCTGGGTACGCAACTGGGACAGTTAAATTAGCTATGATCTTGCAAGAGTTTGACTTTGACATTGACCTGACATAACTCATGGAGGAAGTAGCCACAACCGAGCTGGTGGAGTTGCTAAGGCAGCTAAGGACAGGAAATCGGGATGTTGCAAATTGAGGTAGACAGCTTAGGAAGGTGAAATTCTTACTAAAAGGGAGCAGAAATGGAGAATTTGAGAGGTTGAAGTTGAAGCCTTGAAGAAGAAGCCTTTTAGGAAGGCAAACATCTGGATCATAGAGCTGTATCTGTTGAGCAACATAATCAATATTTCTTACCAAAAATTGTTCTGAAGACGATAGATTTAGAGTCGACACGCCCGCGTCGTTGCAGGCTAAGTTGAAACCAGGATAGCCACATCTTGCAGGTTGCAGCTCGGGAATTCGGAACGGGAATCGGATGCCGAAGTTGTCCTTCATACACTTGGAAATAGAGCAACTTTGAGCTGTGGATAAAGTGGGGAGGATGAAGAGGAAGAAGAGGAGAAAGGTATGTGAGAAATCCATTAGCTTTGCCAAAAGGAAAATTTTTGTAACTTGAAGTAGTTCATATTTATGTTCTTGACTTCATCATTTTATTCCAAAGTCAGAAGCTTTGAAAGTTGTATAATGGTTGGTTTGACATTCTTTGGGTGTGGATGCCATAGTTTTAATATTGATGAGAGAGCTACAGAAATTTATTAAGAAATTTCAATTTGATATAAACTATCAAACTTTCTCTTTCGGTATTTTGTGCTTATTTAATTCATCTTCAAACTATATTATATATCCATAGACTTTATTATAAAATGGTTCAATTACAAATTTGGTATAGACTTTAGAAATTATTGGGATTGGATTCTAAATTTTTAAATTGTGGAAACCAAATTATAACTTTTTCTAAATTTATAGGTATTCATTTTTTTCCACAAAGATGCATGTAATTTGAATTGTAAAGCTTGAATGGAATCTTTATAAAAGAATCTTGGTCACTAATGTATCACCCATTACGCAAGCCCATCTAAAGTTTTAAAATGCGTACCAACAAAATCGAGTGCAAACTCCCATTTCATTTTTTATTGAATTAACCGATCAACTTGCTTTTCCATCGAATATTTATTTTGGGTTTCAATAATTTTTGAAACAAAAAAATTTCGACAAGAGAGAGATTTTCACACCCTTCTACCCTTATAAGGAACGTTTCTTCCCCTACTCCTTCTTCCCCTACTCCTGGGATCTCACAATCTACCCCTACCCCTTGGGGGTCTCGCTCTTGGAGGCCTCGCTGCTACACCCACAGTGATTGGCTTTGATATTATCATTTGTAATAGCTTAAACCCCTTCCTTTCTCTATGGGATCTCACAATCCACCGCTTGAGGGCCCAACGTCCTCACTGGCACACCGCTCAATGATTGGCTTTGATATCATTGGTAACGGCCCAAACCTGCTACTAGCAGATATCATCCTCTTTGAGTTCTCTTATACGCTTCCCTTCAAGGTTTTAAAACGCGTCCGTTAGGAAGAGGTTTCCACACCCTTATAAGAAATGTTTCGTTCTCATCTCCAACTAATGTGTAATCTCACATAGAGTTAAATGATTACTAGTTAGTCTAATCATTTCATTGTATCGAACACTTCAGTTCAAGGTTTTAAAACGCGTCTGTTAGGAAGAGGTTTCCACACCCTTATAAGAAATGTTTCGTTCTCATCTCCAACTAATGTGTAATTTCACATATCGAGTTAAATGATTACTAGTTAGTCTAATCATTTCATTGTATCGAACACTTGAGCAATGAGGTAAAAAAATGAATTTAAACACCTAAACTTCGGAGCTATATAAATTATAAACATTCATAAACAAATCAATTTATATTATTACCAAAGATTAGAGGATAAAATCACATTTAAAAGTTGAGAAATAAAGTAATGAAATGTAACTAAAACACTGAACAATTTAGAGATTAAATCGACAGAGCCATCAAAATTTAGCCATTGACCGACACGAACGGCGAAACTACCGCTTCTTTGACATGCAAGACCATGCAGACGTAAAAGAGAGTTTCATTATGAATGATACCTGCACATACCAAGTTGTTTATAGTTAAGCTTCTTAATCAGAGCCCTCCATTTCAAGTCTTAGTGAATCACAAAGGTAGAGTAAAGATTTGAACCTAGCAGTAACTTAAAGTACAGTAGAGATCTGACAGATTCTGGACTAAATTTTAAGAATATGCAAGCCTCTGTCCATCAAACCAAATGAATCAATGGCATGTAATTAAAACTAGATCCAAGATCACCAGTTTCAAAGTAAAAACATCAAAGGTAGCAGAAGAAGGCAGCAAAATATTTCACAAGAATGCAAATTTACAGATTGGAAAGCTGACTGCTAGGTTATATTAATAGTAGGGGAATGCACAATGGTACCGATGGGCATTTGGGAGCAAGTCTATGATGAAGAAGCTTCTGTTTGTTGTTTGTCCTTGGGACTCAAGGAGGGCTCCAGTACAAGATCTCCTACTCCTCTTGGCGGCCCAATGCTGCAACGAGCTGTGTTGTGCATTTTAATTGCATCTTTAATTTTCTGGAACTGTGGGACGGAAAAGGTTAGATAAAGTAGAATGATGGTATTCATTCATATATTGATAATCAATGCCTGCCATGAGATCAAACGCTTGGTACAGTTTTCCAAATTTGGGATAAGGGAAGTTTTCAGTTCATATTAGAGATCCACATCAATCCTTCCAGCACATTCACATCTATGACTCAAAATTGTTACAACCCAAGCCCACCCAAGCCCACTGCTAGCATATATAGTCCTCTTTAGGTTTTCCTTTTTAGGCTTCTCTTCAAGGTTTTAAAACGCGTCTACTAGGAAGAGGTTTCCACACCCTTACGAGGAATGTTTAGTTTCCCTCTCCAAGCAATGTGGGATCTCACAATTCACCCCCTTGGGGTCCCAGTGTCCTCGCTGGCACACCGCCCGATGTCTAGCTCTAATACCATTTGTAACAGCCCAAGTCCACCACTAGCAAATATTGTCATCTTTGGGCTTCTCCTTATGGGCTTCCCTCAAGGTTTTAAAACGCGTTACAAGGGAGAGGTTTTCACACCTTTATAAGAAATGTTTAGACCAACGTAGGATCTCACAAAAATCTATTTATATTTTAACATGCATTGTGCTTGTTATAAGCTAAACCAATAAAATAGTATGAATTGTTTACATATGAGATGGGGGAGGGGGAGGGAGGAGGATACCTTTGCGAGTGAGCATGAGAAGGACTCCAATTGTCCATCAGCTCCACGATAAAAATGGAAATAAGGAAGGACCTTGACATTCAAACTTTTGCACATTTGCTTGTTTTCATCAAAGTTGACTTTCAGGAATAAAATCTCAGGGTGCTCATCAGCTGTTCTGCATAGCTGACAGTTCCATTTCAACATATATACAAACGTCAAAACATAAAACAGGCGACTAAAATTTCTAATAAGAACAATAATTGCAAGGTCAGATTTTGCTGTAAGACGCCTTTCCTTTTTAGGAAACAACAAATGTTAAATCCAATGAATATCAATCATTTAATGTGGGAAGCATTTGCAAGAATGACCGTGCAAATAAGAACTGCTCTGGAGCTTTCTTATTATAACTAAAGCGAGAAATAATGACAGAACAGCTACTGCAGCAGAAAACCAATAAAGGAATGCAGAGTATTTTGAGATTAGCAACTTGAGATATCAATATTGAGCAGAGTTATGCTTCATACACTAATGCTTCCCTTTTAATCAATTGGAAAAGCTTTTTGTAATCACAGTGGACAAACCATCCCTTTTGTAAATCTCATACATCAATGAGATTGTTCCATATAAAAAATATATATATATTGGAGAGTTTTTGATAACCAATTTTTTAAAGGATTGAGCAATTGTCTACAGTTTCAACCTCAGTAACATAGATAGGTAGAAACCTGCAAGGCATCTAAAAATACTGCAAAGTGTATTTTAAAGATTTTCATCTTGATAGCTAGCTAACAAATGCAGCAGTCATTTAATGCCTACTTGTTCAATAAGCTGGTCCAAATCGAGTTTCAGAAAATGCTCCATTGATGGAATCAAGTCTTATATCATGATACACTTGAAACAGACCAACATCACAATCTGAAGAAATCTAAAGCATTGATGAAGAAAGTTACCCGGGGAAATAATGCCCTGCAGGAAGCACACCAGGTTCCGTAAAAATCTACAATAACTAATCTATCACCAGATTCACTCAATGCAGTTAAAAATTCCTGTGTCGAATGTATATCAATCATGTTTGGTGCACTCTTTTCCCACCATTTTGGCTGGTCTTTTTCAGCCACAGCTGCCTGTACCTGTGGCATCATAGAACAGTTAACAGGCGGCATCCGGAAAATGATTGACATCTATTTTGTTTGAGTAAGAAACATTTTTAAACAGATAATCATGCATAAAAGGAAAAGCAGGGAAAACAGTACAGCCTCCTGCCCTCAGAATCGAAGGAGAAATTACAAGAAGTTGTCATGTTTTCCACACAAAAGAAATTTACATATATGTAGTCTCAACGCTACAAACTGAACGATAATTTTGCGAGCTGCTCATTGCCTATGGGAGCTTGCAGGCATGCAATAGCCAATAAGGTAATCAAGAAGAGATTTGCATGTAAGGATGCTAGAACTCTCCTACTTCCAGTATTTTGAATCAAAACTAAGAGTTATATGAAAATCTTCCATGTTGTCAAGATGTAAGCCTGTAATCTCTCTCGTTGAAATGTAAGGTCCTTCTCCACAAGTTATCTCTGCTCAGGCCTTTTAGAAACATCTAAAACAAGTCAGCTGAGCATAAAGTTAAGGAAAAGCATTATGAAAATTGAAGTTCCTATCCAACCAAGCATCCTTTCAAAATCCAATTATACAATGGTTCTCAGCCATTAAGAAAGCTTCCAGTCTCAGATAAATTTCACAGCTAGCAGTGAAAATCCAAACGCAACAACTGTTCAGAGATATGTTTCCAATGAACAATCACATAGGACTTGCATCATATTTACTGGCGAGAATTCTGTGCCTAAAGGGTGCTGGCGTTCGACTACTTCTCTTCCAAGTAACAAGGTGTTCAGTCCCCTCGTTCATAACCAAAAATCTTCCCAAAAGCTATAGCCAGATCTGAAGGAACTTTAAAGAGATATGAAGAGAAAACATGGCTCCTTATGGTTTAATCAACCATAAAATAAGTGTCTCTTTAGATTTAACCAGCATCAGGCTAGACAGGAATATAAACAACTTCGTAGAACAGACTAGAACTGTCAACTAAGAATTGAATGCATATGGGAAAGAATTGTTGGCAAAGCAATGTAGCTAATTCTTTTAACAGATAAAAGTACAAGCATCAACTACCTAGGGAAAACTTGAACTTAGTGGGTCTCACAATTAGGGTTGTACAGAACCTTCTCAAATTCCAATTCAGCACATGGAATCTCAAATTGAAAATAAAATTCAAACAAGCCCAACAAACAGGTTCTTGCTGGCAACTAAATTCATATAAAAAAAGAATGAAAATCTCAACAATTATAAATCCAACCAAAAGAACAGCTGTGTACCTTGAAAGATACCAACCTCTTTCTGGGTGTGAAAGAAAGAGGCATTACAAAGCTAGTAGAGTAGCGCGGCAGAGAAGTCGACCTCTTATCCGAGCTTTGAATGGGTGGAAAACAAGTCTGAATAGAATTGCAGGATGAAGCAATGGAGGCAGGGAAAGAAGTGGATGGGAAACAGAAAGAATGCGAGGAAAATCTAAAAACATCAGCCATTTAGAGACAAAAACGCAGAAATTCTACTTCCAAACACAATCTCTGTCCCCCCAAGAAGAAGATGATGATGGTGATGAGGTAAACAGCATGGGGGAAAAACGAAAAAGGCAGTCTCGAGAGTAGGAGAAGAAGGGTTGTTTATAATTGTGGCTAGAATTGTGCGCGTGAATTGGAGAGAGGCTTTTACGCTGTACACGATTGTAATGGTGACTGCAACAATTGGTAATCAATCCGCCATTTTAACCCAATCACAGTTCTTATCAGTTTGCTCTTCCTTGCCAATCATCTCTGGTCTCGTCGGTGATGAGATTTTTCTGCTTTGACCTAACCAACGAGATTTTTTTGTGAAGATTTTCCTTAAATATTTTTTAAAATCTTTAGATTTAAAAAAAAAAAAATACAATTACAGTTAAGATATCTTTCCTAAGAGTTCAAAAAATATCAAGTAAAAATTTTATTAATATTTTCCTATCCAAACACCTTTAAATATTTGTAAAAATATATCTTTAAATTTTTTTAAAAAATAAAAAATATTTAATCGTATTAATAAATCTTTAAAAGATATTCATGAATTTTAAAAAATTTAGAGATGATCTTCAGAAGTGTATATAGAGGGTCAATTTTAAAAAATAACATTAAAAAGTTTGGAGATAATATTTGAAATGTATATACATCGTTTCCGTCCATCTATTGACATAAACAATTCTTTTTTTATAAAAAAATTAAATGTATTAATGCTCCTTATAAAATTTGATAATTATTTTTTAAACATGATATCCATCGTCAAAATATTTTTGAATTTTTAACTATAGTAAAAATATTTTTGAACTTTAAAAAAATGCTCAAGAGCATTATAGGTATTTTTTAAATAAAAGACTAACCATTTCAAAACTAACCTAATATTTTTTTTATTTTTTATTTTTTTTGAAAATGGGAGAGAAACTTCAAAAGTTTATGATATTCTCATTAATATAGTTCTTAATAAATTATTAATTTAGACAAATTTTTTATAATGGTAAATTTAATATAATTCAATAACTGAAAACTTTGTTTAATTCTTCTAAATTTGAATATTCACTTTTTATATATAATTTTTTTTCATTTAAATTCATCCAATCGAACCTTTAATATAAACGTGCATAAAAGATTAAATTAATTCCCTCATTCCTCATTTTAATTAAAATCAAGAGTAAATTAAAGTTGATAAATGCACAAAATACACGATCAAACAAATCTTTGAAATATTACGTGAAATAGTGGTTTTTCTCCTCTTCCCTCAACATGCGAATTAATAGATAAATTTTTTATTTTTATACGTGAATCAATAATTATTGCATTCAATTTTTTCTCGATATCTATCATAAAATGTTTGGAATTTGATTAAAATGGATAGATTAATGTGAGATTATTCCTATAAAACATAAAAGAAATCAATCATAACTAGAATGAGATTCCTTTGAATTTATTTCTTTGGAGTTAGCTGTAATCCTAATAAAATTTTGTTGGGTCGTTATTTAAATTTGTAATTTAAATGAAATATGTAAGATTATTAGAAATGTCTTTTTACTTTTTAATGAATTAAAATGAAGTAACTAAAGAATGTGATAATAATAAAGTGTTATTTTTATTTTATTTTTTTACTTATTCAAATTTTATACTTAAGAAAAATTAATACCTAAATTATAATAAAAATGTAGGATTTAAAAAAAAATACTAATTATCTCAAATTTCAATTATCTAACTCAAATTTTAATTTGAGGGTAGTTTTTTTTTTCAAACACATACATTTAAAAGAAAAAAAATTACAATTTTCAAAATAAAATCTAATATTATTTGATTCAATAAAATAATATTAACTAAGAAAATTTATAGGAATGACTCAATTTCTTGGTCTCGTGTCTTTTTAATTCATGCAAAATAAATTATATCGTTTTGGTGGGACAATTTATAATATTTAGCACGATTAATTGAGTGATGTTAGTTCACGTATAAGCTTGGAGTTTGATTTTCGGAATAGATGAACTATTATAAGTGAAATTAAATCAGTGTGTAACATCTGACCAAAACACGTTTAGAATTATCAAATTGGACTTGAAACTATAATAGAGCTTACAGTTGGAATGTCTATGACATGAAATTACCTAATGCATGAATAATATGTACAACTCTCTTTACGTGTCGACGTTTACTTCTTCTCTATTATTTATGATTATTATGTTAGTATGATAATGTTATTGTCTTGCAAGACATCATGATCTATCATGATAAACTCAAATTAAATATTTCGAACATATACGTCCATCTCATAAAAATACATGCGCGCCACGATAAGCCTAAAAGTATTACGTGAACCATATCAACAAAATAATTTTTTTTTTTTTCGTATGAAAATTTTCATTGATTTTATATTTATTGTTAAAATATAAATAGAATTATTGATACCGCCTCGAAACGGTATGAACAAATTAATGAAAATATAAATAGGCGTGACAGAGGAAGACAGCACACAGATTGTGGGCAGGGCCCCAACGAACGCTCTGTCCAATCTGTCATTTCCGCTGCCGGCGCTCCTCTGTTCGAACCCTTTCTTTTCTACCCTTCATCTTCTCAGTTCTTTGCATTCTATTCCATTTCCAGAGTCGATATGGCAGAATCCTCACCAGACCGGTCGTCTCCCCCTCTTTCATCCGGTACGTTTCCTATCAATCTCCTGATTTTTCCTTTTTTCTTTTTTCTTTTTTATTTTTCGTATATATATATATATATATATATATATATATATATATATATATATATATATATATATATATATATATATATATATAT